GTGGCTTGTCCCACCCCACAGGTGGCACTGGGACCGAGGCGTGGAGGAGAGCAGGGCTGTCCAGGGACCACAGCAGGTAGGGTTGCCCTGTGGACCCTCGGGTCTGCCCTGTCCTTAGCATTGGACTTTTCTCCTGCCCTGTCCTCACCTCTGTTCCTGGTCCTTCACCTGTGTTCACTAGCCGGACCCACGGGCTCCACCTGGGGGTCCAGACAGAGACCCCTTGCTTCCTACCAGGCGCTGAGGGGCCCAGGGCCTCATGTGAGCCCTGCAGCCCACGCCACAGTGCAGACAGAGCAGGGTACAGCCTGGGGACAGAGCAGGACACAGCCTCAGGACACAGCAGGACACACAGCCTGGGAACAGAGCAGGACACACAGCCTCGGGACACAGCAGGACACAGCCTCGGGACAGAGCAGGACACAGCCTGGTGACAGAGCAGGACACACAGTCTGGGGACAGAGCAGGACACACAGCCTGGGGACAGAGCACGACACAGCCTGGGGACAGAGCAGGACACACAGCCTGGGGACAGAGCAGGACACACAACCTGGGGACAGAGCAGGACACACAGCCTGGGGACAGAGCAGGACACATAGCCTAGAGACACAGCAGGACACAGCCTGGGGACAGGGTAGGACAGACAACCTGGAGACAGAGCAGGACACATAGCCTGAGGACAGAGCAGGACACATAGCCTCAGGACACAGCAGGACACAGCCTGGGGACAGAGCAGGACAGACAACCTGGGGACAGAGCAGGACAGACAACCTGGGGACAGGGTAGGACAGACAACCTGGAGACAGAGCAGGACACATAGCCTGGGGGCAGAGCAGGACACATAGCCTCAGGACACAGCAGGACACAGCCTGGGGACAGAGCAGGACAGACAACCTGGGGACAGGGCAGGACAGACAACCTGGAGACAGAGCAGGACACATAGCCTGGGGGCAGAGCAGGACACACAGCCTCAGGAGAGATGGAGCAGGACACCCAGCCTGGGATGGTGGACCTCAATGAATACACAAAGTTGTGCACCCCCCTTTCCACGAAAAGGAAACTCAGGCCCGTGAGTACTTTGCAGGTCTCCCCTCCCCAGCTGGACAGCGGACACCTAGGCCATGTCTAATTGTCCCCCAGCTCCTGGGCGAGACGTCTGTGTGCCGTGCACGCTGACGCATTGGGGGACCCCTGCCTCCTGCAGGGGATCTGTGCACAGACCAGAAGGACCCCGGCTGTGCCTGCTTCTGCTTCCCAGTGACGCTGGGGCCGATGGCAGTGGGCTGGGGGAGCAGGAGGCTCTGTGCCTTCTGCTTGGCGTGAGGGGGTTTCGGGGTGTTTTCCTCTACTTTGCGCTTGGGGTGTCTGCAGGGCGCTGCGAGCTTCCACCCTGCTCCAAAGGGCTCCAGAGATCTGGCTGTGGCCTCAAGCCCCCTGCCTAAGTGTCCCACCTGGACCGGGTCTGCGGTCTCAGGACGTCTGCTTAAGGGACACGGCCCCATGACTCCCGCCTGACCTTGTCCAGGTTGTGCCCTCCAAGACAGCCCTCACTGGGAAAGAAGTCGGGGTCAGGTGTGTCGCTCAGGTGAGGTGCAGGGGACACAATTCCACAGGACAGGGAAATAACTCTCAATTCCCGCACAGCCGGAGAGCAGAGGCGCCGGCCTCGTGGCACGGGGGTGGGAGGGAGCCATGTGTCCTGGTGTGGGGTGGGGGACCTGGGCCAAAGCCTTTATTGGGGTCCAGTCTCCAGGTCCAGCCTTCACCCAAGCAGGTTTCCATGAGGGTCTTATGGTGACCACGCAGGAGTTACACTGGTTTAGGCTGTGGGTGATGGCCACTGCGACCTGGCTGGGCCCTTTTGGGGTGTGTGGCCAGAGGGACGAGTCCAGAATGGCTACTGCATCCTGGCTGGACCCCTGTGGACCTGGCTGGGCCCTTGCAGGGTGTGTCGCAGAGGGCCGAGTCTAGCAGGTTGTCTCAGGCTTCCCATGGAGGTGAGGGACGGTCACCAGGAGCAGGTGTAGAAGGCAGATCCATGGACGCAACTCCTGGAAAACTGGGGGAGGCAGAGAACTAGCAGGTGCAGGGTGAGCCCGAGTTTGAGATACGAACCCCACTTCTGGCATGGGGAAGACCTGTTGTTCACGGAGGGCCAGCAAGTTGAGGTGACAGGTGTTCACTACGAGGAGTTGTGTGCAGCCACCCCTGACTGCTCCTGGAGTCCCCTCTTCTGTGGGAGCGGAAGGGACAGGGAGTGCCAGGGAGGACGCGGACGGGAGAGACCTGCGGAGCGGTGCAAGGGGACAGGCACAGGCGGGGCACAGGACGTGGGGTGAGGAGGGAGCTCCCACAGAAGGAAGCCATTTCATGGTGTGTGCTTCATTTGCTTCTCAGTTCTAGAAGCCAAAAGTCTGAGATCCACAGGTGGCAGGGCCACCCCGTCCTCAGGGTCCAGGGGAGGGTGATCCCATCTGCAAAGACCCTGTTTGCAAATGAGGCCCCAGGACAGGGTCCTTCCCGCCGCTTCCAGCTCCTGGGACTCCAGGTGTCCTTGGCTTGGGGCCCCATCCTCCAGTCTCTGCCTCCGTCTTCATGTGGGGTCTCCCCTCTGCCTGTGTCTCCTCTTCTGTCTCTTGTAAGGACACTGCCATTGCATCTAGGGCCACCCTCGTCCAGCATGGCCTCATGACCCTTCACTAATTCCATCTGCAGAGATGTCACTGTGCAGTGGGGCTGAACTCTGGGGCCCCAGGGGGACATGCATTTGGGTGTGTGTGTAACTGGGGGCCCGTTACCGCTGGGCTAGATCTGGGGAGCAGGGAGACCAAGGCTGACCTTCGGAGCCACTGGGGGGAAGGAGTGGGAGGGAAGGGGCTGGGGCAAGTCCGTGGGATCTGGTGAACTTCCAAGCGGGCATGCTGGGAAGGGTGAGCGGGAGCAAGGGCAGTGTAAACGAGGGAGTCATCGGCGGCAAGCCGTGCAGTCATGAGGCGGGTGAGGTCATCAGCGGAGGCTCAGGCCGGACGTCACTTAAACCTGGGGAGGGTCAGAGCAGCGGGCAGACGAGGACTGGCCAGGAGGTAGGAAGGCCTGGAAGGCCAGGACTGCAGGGAACGGAGGAGAGCAGTGTCCCGGCCGGGAGGGCTCCTGGGGCCCATCTTGCCAGTGGTCACGGGGCGTGAGAGCCCGGGCCGGTGCACGGCTCGAATCTTCCTTCCCTTGGGTTCAGCGTGGACGACAGGCAGGGCAGCTGCTGGGGTTGACCACCATCCCCTGTGGTCTCGGTGCAGCGTGCTCTGCCGTGACTAAACGTGTCTTCGTGGCGTGTAAGGGTCGAGGTCACTGGTGGTTCGGGTGGCATTTGGGGTTCCACAAGTGCTCTCGTGGGAGCATTTCGGGGTTTGTCCTCTGCACGCGTGTGGTCAGGGGTGTGTGGAAACCCATGCCCAGGGTCCACACTGAGCGACCACTGCAGGCAGATGGCCCCAGGGTCCATCTGAACCAGGGCGGTCCTGCCAGAAGGACTCAGTTTCCCTGTTGGGAAGAAAGCCACTGAAGACATTTTCTCTGTCATCAGAGACTGGAAAATGACTCCACCTTGGGAAGGGCTCTTTTGCTGGGCAAAGCCAGTCCACTTGATCGGAGCTAGTGTTTGCAGGACCTGCCAGGGTTTTTCCTGGGATGGACCTCAATGCCACTGACTCGGGGTGCTCCCCAAGTATTTCCCTTACTTCCCGTGACTCACAAAGGCAGCTCTGGTGGTGACCCCCGAGGTGTGGGGGGCAGAGCAGGAACCTTGCATGGTCGCCCGGGGAGGCACTGGGCCGGGGGCCTGCAGAGCTGAGGGAACAGGGGCTGGGGGCGTGCAGAGGGCTCAGAGGCAGATTCTGGGGCTTCCCAGGGGAGACCTGGATCCAGGGGAGGACACTGTGCACCTCCAAGGCGGGAGGGCTCCAAGGCAGTTTTCCACCGGCTTTCGGGAGGTGTTGCCCCAGGTGTGACGGGGCCGGGATCACTAAGGGGCAGAATCCACCTGCAGGGAACCTCGGGAGAGGGCAGAGGGAGTCACTGGTGCCAAACTGCTCACAGCCCAGACGGTGAAAGAGAGGCGGCTCCTGGAAAACCTGTCCTCTGCAGCAGGCAGGAAGCGGTGGCCGCAGGTGAGGAGAGAGCTGGGCGTCTGGGGCAGAAGCCTCCGGAGTGCACGGGGGGGCTGCAGGAGAAGCCTGGAGGCTGCAGAGGGAGGAAAGGCGCTGCTGCTGGGAAACCCTGGGTCTGCACAGCTCGATCGGCGGGGCGGCGGGGGAGGCTGGCTGCTGAGCAGTGAGCGTTCTCTGCAGCCTAAGAGAGTTCTTTGCGGGGCTCCCCATGAGCCCCTAGGCTGCCTGCATGCGTCTCCCTCCGTGAGCCCCGTGAGCTGGCAGGTGCCCGGGACCTAGCGCTCAGGTAGCACAGAGTCCCAGGTCTCCCAGCGCAGCACCAGGACGCTATGAGGACTGGGAAGGCTGGGGGGCCCCCGCAGCCCCGACTTTGGGGACGCGAGGAAGGCCCAGGGATGCCCCAGTGTGGGGGACACCAGGAAGGAAGGGTCAGGGACAACCGAGGGCAGGGGCGCGAGCTCCCCAGGCTCCTGCAGGACGGAGCAGCCCTGCAAACTCAGGGCTGGGACATGTGGTGCAAGCGCCCACCGCGGTGGGCTCTCCGGGTGATGTGGCGGGACACAGGAGGAGGGACGAGGGAGTGACTACCACTAACATCCTGCCTGCTGGGGCAGCAGGTGAAACTCACTGAGGCTTGGTGGGCAGTTCTGGTCCCAGAGCCCAGGCGGGCTGAGAGAAGCCAGAGGCTGTGGCACCCCAGTGACCATCCCGGTGACACAGCTCTGGACAGCTAAAGTCCCCGGGGGTCACAGATGGCAGCAGGGATGGTGAATCAGTCCCAGCCAGGGATGCCTGCAGCTGGAGGAAGATTTTGTGAACTGAGCCCTTGAAGGGAAAATGGCGAGGGGCAGCCCCAGCATGCCCACCCCAGGACCAAGGCCCATGGTACCCAGGCAGGTCTCAGCTTCGGAGCCTGTTCCCCAGTGTGCAGGGGGGGACAGCAGGTGGACACAGGTGGGTACAGTGAGAGGGGCCGAGGGTCACAGAGTAGTGTGGAAACCCTGCACCTGCCTTTTCACAGGGTGGAGCCCCGTCTTCTGTGACCTCTTGAGAGGCCATGTGTCCCCAGGGCCCCATGGGCACCGACTAGGGTAGGTCCTTCTCCCTCCTTGTTTTCTGTGTCCTTGTGGGTGAGGCCTCCTCCACAAGCAGGACGCCACCAGAGCCGGCAGAATTTGTCACACACCTGGAGGCCTCTGCTGCCCTGTCCAGCAGCCCTCACCTGGTGCCAGGGACAGGAGGGTGGCAGGGGAACAGCCAGCGCTCACACCCGTTCCCTTCTCAGCCCATGGCGTCTCCCAGGATCGAGGCTGTCATCCGGGAGCAGCACAGGATGGCGGAGTGTCCCGTGTGGGAAGAGGAGATGGGGCAGCTCGTGTACGTGGACATCCACGCCAAGACCGTGTGCAGGTGGAACCCGGTGTCCAGGGAGGTGCAGGCCGTGGGCCTCAGTGAGTGAGCCTGAGGTGTTCTGGGGTGTGGATGGGGTTTGGGGTGAGTGTGGGGTGTCCTGTGGAGGTGCAGATGCGTCTGACTGACTGTGGGGTGTCTGTACGTTGTGCAGACCCTAGATCTCAGGGACTGGGGTCTTGTGGGGGGGTCCATCCTCCCTCCTTCCCCATCTGTGGTCACGCGGAAGAGCAGCTGAGCAGTCAGGACTTACAGGTCTCTGACCTCCATCCCCTAAGGCCTGTCCTCGTGCGGGTACAGCACTCTCAGGTGGGGTTGGGGAGGTCCATGCACCTGTGCCAGTCTATCTGAGCACCCTCAGGTGCGCCCTCTTGTAAGTCCGTCATCTTGGACTTACTTGTCACCAGGGGAGTTTGTCTGTCCTTCCGTGGGGCTGTGGGCAAGTCAGCCATCAGTGAGGCCGGCTTCTGTGCTATGCAGAGGCAGAAGAAACCCTGAACCCTCTGCACCCCGCTGGGTGGAGCAGCCCTTCCCTGGCTGATGCTGGCCTGTGGACACTGTCCTGGTCAGAGACACAGTGTGGCCACGTGGCCACAGAGGGGCTGCAGGTCAGCACGCAGGAGTTAAAGAAGTGGTCCTGGAAGAGCTCAGTCACCCGTGGGCTCAGGTGTCCGTGGGGTCACACACCCGTGTGGGACTCGGGTAGGCCTCATCTTTCATGTAGCAACGGCCTTCAGGTAAATCCTGCACTCACCCTCCCTCCCCACAGGCAGAGGGCACTGTCCCCCTGCAGAACAGGTGGGGACAGAGTGGGTCCCTCACCTGCCATGTGCCCCTCCTCTGGGCAGGAGCCATGTCCTGGCTGATCACTGACCTGGATGCAGGTGTCACACACAACACAGACGGGGTGTGCATATCACAGAACCCTGTACCCGTTTCCTGCTGGCAGCTGCAGTAACACCCTGGAGACTCTGCAGGTGGCCACTGTGGGCACGGGGCACAGAGAAGGGACAGGAGGCCAACCACACTGTTCCTAGGGCAGCCAAGTTCCCGGTCCCGGGAAGAAGAGAAATGCTCAGACAACACCCGCTAACAGCAGCCTGGTGGGAGGCGATGGCCCTGGCCAGTGGAGGCACAGCAGCCACAGTCACCCCACTCGTCCTCTGTCTCCCCAGGTCACCGGGTTGGCTGTGTGGCTCTGCGCCACAAAGGGAGCTACGTGGTGGCCTCTGGCACCTGCCTTGGCCTCCTGGACTGGGGCACGCGGCAGGTGCAGTGGCTGGCCTGGCTGGACAGAGACAAACCCCACAACAGGTTCAATGACGGGAAGGTGGACCCCGCCGGGCGGTTTGTGGCAGGTGAGCTTCCAAGGGCAGCATATGGCCTGGGCCCCCTAGGCAGGCCTTGGCTGGTACATAGAGGTCAGTGGTCACCCGGGCTGTCCCCCCGTCACAGCAGGTGAGGAGCAGAGCAGGGGCTTTCAGAAACTTTTACCCTCATCAGGCAAGGAGGCAGATCATGGGGAATCATGCTCTGTCACCCCACAGGCCAGGACAGGGTCCTTCCCTTCTCTTCCAGCTCCTGGGGCTCCAGGTGTCCTTGGCTAGGGGCCCCATCCTCCAGTCTCTGCCTCTGTCTTCACGTGGCTTCTCCTCTGTGTCTGTGTCTCCTCTGTGTCTTGTAAGGACACTGTCATTGCATCTAGGGCCACCCTCGTCCAGGATGACCTCATCTCAAGACCCTTCGTTCCATCCACAAAGACCCTATTTCCAAATGAGGTCCCATTCTCAGCTCCCAGGTGACACACCTTTGCAAAAGACACCATTGCCTTCAGTTCTACGGAACTTGACCATATTCCAATATGGCGGCCTGGCCTAATGGTGTGGGTGACACAGCTGGTCCAGGATGACCTCATCCAAGACCTTTAACTCCACCTGCAAAGACCCTATTTCCAAGTGAGGTCCTATTCCCAGGTTCTGGGGGTGTGGACATAGGCTTATCTTTTGGGGTCTGTCTTCCATCCCATGCAGCAGCCAGTCCCAGAGAGCATGAGGGTCACCTACCCACTGCCTTCCTGAATGACCCCTCCCCAGGCTTGCCGTGATCGGCTCTCACAGGGACATCTTTTACTTTTTGAGGAGTGGGCAGTAACTTATGCAGGGTGGGCAGGACAAGGGGACAAGGGTGGCCTTCACTGACCACCTGCTCTTTCTAGGCACCATGCCAGAGCCGTCTGCCCCAGGCGTGTGGGAGCCCAGGCAGGGCTCCCTGTACTCACTCCATGCTGACTACTCAGTCGTCAGACACCTGGACAGGCTGGGCATCCCCAATGGGCTGGACTGGTCCCCTGACCACCGCACCTTCTACCACGTGGACAGCCTGGAGTACTGCGTGCGGGCGTACGACTACGATGTGCAGACAGGCGGGATCGGTAGGAGCCCCCCCACCCTTCCACCCCCAGGCCATGCTGCAGGACAGAGAGGGGCGGGGCCTGAGCTGACCTGACAGAAGGGGGCGGGGCCTAGAACCTGCAGATCAGAAAGGGGCGGGGCCTGAGCTGACCAGAGAGAGGGTGGGGCCTAGAACTTGGAGGACACAGAGTGGGCAGGTCCAGGCCAGGCAGGACCAAGGCCACCCACAAGGCGAGGTGCACATGGCAGCAGGGTGGGCCGGCATGTCACTGCCCTTCAAAGGTCCAGGTCACCGGGGTGCAGAGTTGAGGTGTGGACACTCAGAAGCTCACCTCCACCTGCCTTGGGGGTCGTGTGGGGTGTGACTCTGAGGAAATCTTGTTCTGGGCATTTTCCCAGTGCCCCCCACAAACGTCAGGCACACTTTAAGTGGAGCACAGCATTTTGCTGGTAGCCTGGGTGCTGTCCACTGCAACCCTGTGTGGTGGCTTCCTGTCCCTATGCAGGGAAGGGCTACATACATTCTCATCCCTGCCTCTACAAGTCCCAGACATCCATTCAGTCTCTGAATCATGTCAGGACCTGATGTCCACCTCGTGGTCAGTGTCCCCTCTCCTGTGGTCCTGGTCAGGGACACCACAGGCCCAGTGCAGGGTCCCCCAGGGCCAAGACTGCTCCTTGGTGTAGCACTTGGGGGTTGCTACACCAAGTCCCAGCAGGAAAAGGTACAAAGTTTTTGGAGAACCCAGACAGAGCCTCACCTGGTAGCCCAGGTAGGGGATAAGGACAGCTTACCCTGGCAGGGGATCACACCTGCTAGGAAAAACCAGGAGCACCCAGAGGCTGGAGGGGTCAGGGGCTGGGGGGACACAAGAGGCCAGCCATCCTGATGAGGAGGTGACCAAGGACAGGGACTGTTCTCTGAACAGGACACAGTCGGGGCCCTGACCCCCACAGACAGCACACAACCCACAGACATGACACAGTCAGCACCCAAACCCCACAGGCAGCACCCGGTCCCGGGGCCTGTGGGAGCCCCATCCTGGCTATGTGTGACACCAGCAGGGAGCACTGCAGCCACTAGAGCCGCCAGGAGGAAAAGTCGTCCCCACCACTAAAATCCTGCCACGGGGGCGGGGGAGAGGGGACACGGTCTCACAGCCTTCACCTGGGCAGGAATGTAATGAAAGGTGTTGCCAGGAGCTGGGAACGGTAGTCCCTGACCAACAGATGGGCACACGAGTGGACATGGCCCTTGAGGTTTCAGACACAAATGGGGACACTGGACAGAGAGACGTGGGGCAGGGGACATTGGACAGAGGGCATGGAGCAAAATGCTGAATGGGTGGTGGAGGGTGGATGCAGGACCATCCACAGGTCAGCTAGGGTCTGGTGCTCTTGGTGGAGTCCCCAGAGTGAGGAAGAGGCACAGCCATGACACACAACCACAGATGGTGGCAGTTTTGATAGACACGGGCAGGTGCACCTCGCCACAGTTCTTGCATGCAAATGAAGCACTGCATTTGCAACAGTCACAGCAGTCCGCTATGCAAATGAGGTCTGTGTCTGCACCAATCACAGGCCTTCTGCTGGGCCCTCGGGAAGTGCTGCCCCTGGCCTGGGTGGAAATGGCTGGGACTGTGATGGTGAAATGCACAATGGCAGCCGTGAGCTGGGGCAGATCAGAGCCTTCAGGAGCCCGAATTGTGCTTCCACAGCAAGCAGGGTTCACGTACCTTCCTCCGGTGTGTGGAGACTTCAAAGCAGCCAGTGCTGCCATGAGGACAGTCCTGATGCCCATGGTCCCTCAGGCAGGGCAGGGGGCCCAGGGAAGGTCTCACGCTGTCAATTATGGAGTCCAGTCGTCTGGGCCCTGACATCCCAGCTTAAAGGGAAAATAAGCATTTAGGAAAGGGGTATTTGGCAACAGCCTGTTGTCATCACTAATTGCCTTAGCCACACTCAACACTGCTCAGGTTCTTCCCGGAGTCCAAGGACAGGTGCATCCCTTCGCCTGTGTCACGGTCACTGCAGCCTCTGTCTCCATCTGCACGTGGGTCTGTGTACCTGTGTCTGCGTCCACACATCCTTCTTTGTAAGGACAGACAGTGTGTTTGGATTAGGGCCCGCCCCTATGGTCACCCTGTCTCCTAAGTCCCGCTGTGAGGTCCTGTGGGTTGAGCATCCCCCGGCTCTTTAGGGTGCTCTTGGGAAGAACTGGGAGCTTTGCTGGGGCACAGGGATGGCGTCAAGGGAGGAAAGTGTGTCATGGCATGTGTCCTCCGAGTCCTTTTAAAGACATGCATTTCTTACTCAGCTGTTTTGGGGACACCAATTTGGGGTCAGTAGGCATCGGGGTCTGGCCACGGCCAACCTCCCAACAACCTGGGACGCGTGTCCTCCAGGCCTGACCAGGGTGTGGGATGGCGTGTGGCTCACACTGCAGTGATCACAGCCCTATGAGTGACCCCAGTGCCGTCCCCGTGCTGTGTCACAGAGAACCCACGGCTGCTGTACAGGCTGCAGGAGGACCAGGGCATGCCGGACGGGCTGTGCGTGGACACCGCGGGCACACTCTGGGTGGCCTGCATCGATGCAGGCAGAGTGATCCGGCTGGACCCCGAGACAGGTGGGTGCGGAGGTCAGGCAGGGCTGAGCGAGGGTGGCCACAGTGAGCGGTCCTGTGTCGTGTGCGTTCCAGCAGGCGAGAGCCCTGGACAGCAGAGACGGGCTGTACAGCTATGCAGGGGGCTCCCCAGGGTCACAGGAGGGCAACTGGGGCTCCATCATATGGCCAGTGTAGCAATGTCCAGGGGCTGCCCGAAAGAGCGACCACAACCTGGGGGCCTTAACAACAGGGGTTCACCTGTCCCAGGCCTGCAGAGCAGAAATGTTGGGTCCAGGGGTGGCAGGGCCACTCCTTCCACAGCCCTAGGACAGGTTCCTTCCATCTGCAAAGACCCTATTTCCAAGTGAGTCCCATGCTCAGGTCCCAGGTGACACATCTTTCAGAAAAGACACCATTCCCCTCAGTTCTATGCAACTTGACCTTATTCCAATATGGCGGCCTGGCCCAATGGAGTGGGTCCAGGACGACCTCATCTCACGACCCTTCATTCCATCCACAAAGACCCTATTTCCAGCTGCAGCGCTGTTCTGAGGTCCCAGTGAACATGACCTTTGGGTCAGGACTGACCCTGCAGTTGGTGACTCAGAGCTGAGTGGGGAGATGAGGACTTTGGCACTCAGGGCCACTGAGACCCCGCACGGGGCTGTGACTCGGGGTTGCTGGGCACCAGGCGGCTTGTGCCCTGCAGGAGGACAGTGGCCACAGCCCTGAGGTCACCCCTGTCCCTGCCCACAGGAACCCGGCTGTGCACGGTGGAGATGCCCGTGTCCAGGGTCACCTCCTGCTGCTTCGGGGGCCCCGACTACTCGGAGCTGTATGTGACATCAGCGGCGGACGGCCTCAGCCCACAGCAGTTGTGTCGGGAGCCTCAGGCCGGACATGTCTTCAAGGTTGGGTGAGGCTGTCCCATGCAGGGCTCCCATGTGGTTGGGGACAGCGGGGGACCTCGGGTGGGTTACACATGTCCAGGCAGACAGGGACAGTTGGGTCAGCTTCCCGGGAAAAGTCTTGTGCACCCAGAGTTATGTGAAAGTGATGTTGGGGGAAAGTAGCTGGAGTCGCTCTGACCGTGACGTCTCTGCTCCATCCGACAGGTCACCGGCCTGGGGACAAGAGGGTTGCCACCTCATCCCTTTGCTGGCTGAGCCCAGTGCAGCCCTGAGCTGTCCCCTCCATGTGGAGCGGCTGGGCCCAGTCTCTGTGTGCTTGTCTGCTCTGGACATTCATATAAATGCCGTCCATCAGATCATGTGGCTTTTTGTGTCTGGGTTTGTCACTGACCATCAGGTCCTCAAGGTGCATCGACATTGTAGCTTAAGTCAGGGCTCTGTTCCTTTTCGTGGCTGCATACTATTCCACAGTGTGGATGGAACCCATTGTCTTTATCCTCCGAGCCCCTGTGCACATGTGACATGGCCCCTGTACACAAGGTCTCCGTGCACATGGTTGTTCCTGGGTCCACACCGTGCTCCTGTGTCTATGCCGTAGCACTGGAAATCCCCGGGCCAAGCATTGGAAGCCCGAGCCCCTCCTGCCTTGGCCCCCGAGGGTCTCGGCCCCCTGAGCTGACAGCACAGCAGGACGATGCTCCCCGTGGGCATCAGGGCCACTTCTATGAGGCCATCTGGGAGCACGGCCATGGCCAGCTGCTCTGCAGGGACAGAGCGCAGGTGCGTCTGCAGGTCCGGGAGCAGCCGCTTCTTCATCAAGAGGCACCGGTGTCCTCTGCTGACGTGGGGTGGGCACTGGCCACCCTGCTGGGTCCTTGTGGATGGACAGCTGTTGGCAGGGGGCAGGATGGGACAGCAGTGACCAGGCATGTAGGGACAGAGAGTCAGGAGAGGGCGTGGAGTGACAGGGGGCCAGGGGACAGCATTTGGGGACATGGCTGTGCTGGCCCTCTTTGGTTGATAACTCCCTGGCTGTGTCTTTGATCCCAGGTCTCCTGAGACCTTCTGTCCTGTCCCTGGGCGCTGCACCTGTCATCTGTTGAGGTGACCCACAGCCACTTCTGTCCACCTCTTCACTTTCCCTTTTCTTCAGGGGGGGCCCGATGTGGTGGGGACCTGAGGCTGCCCGTCTCGGCGGGGCACTGTGAGCCGCCCGTCCCCCATGGCCCTGTGTCCACCAAGGACACGGTGTGTCCACACCCTGCTCCAGAAGACACCAGTGTTCAGCTTAGGGCCACCCTAGTGGACCCGTGTTTGCACACTGACCGAGACGCGTGCACAGAGGCACAACGTGCTCAAGTTGAGTGTGTCACACGCGTGTGTGCACAAAGAGAACACGGGTGCATGTGCCCCTGTCCTCAGATATTCAGACATGTCCCCTCACATACCTGGCCGCACTGCTACCCTGGGCTGCGCCTGACAGGACACAGGGCCGCCCTGGCCGTCTCTGCACCACGGCCTGGGGGCAGATGGGTTAATCTGGGTTGTTGACACCCACGTCAAGGGTTTTTCCCTCTTTCTTTTCCTTGCTGCAGTCAGCAGGGATTTGTCCTGCCCTGGCCTGGTGTCCTCATGGTCCCAGAATGGCTGCTGCAGCTCCAGGAATCACACGGAGAGGTCAACAGCGAACGGTTGATCTGAATGTGGCACGACTCACTGACTAAACCATAAGCCAAGCCAAACTCCAGCACTGGGCTATAATTACCGAACTCGGCTCAGACCTTTGCTTCTCAGCCCCTCACATTCTCTTTAAAACAGGTTTATGAGCTGTAATTCACACACCATATAATTCACTGTTTACAACGGTGAACAACCATTGCTTTCCAGTGTGTTCACAAAGTTGTGCAAAGAACACCACAGCGATTTTACTAAGTGTTCACTCTTCCAGCAGAAGCCGTGTTCCCATTAAGGACTCAGTGCCCAGCCCCCTCTCCAGCCCCTGGCAAGCGTAACTCCACTTTCTTGTCTGTGATGTCCCTGTTTGGGACATCGATGGACACACATCCATGGGTCCCACACCACGTGGCCCTTTGAGTCTGGCGTCACTCACATCCGTGAGGCACGTCTACACTGCAGCGTGAGTCAGGGCCCCATTCTTGTTCGTGGCTGAGTGATATTCCACCACGAGTACAGGCTGTTTGCTGGTGAGTGGACACTTGAGGGATTTGCAGTTGTGACTTGTGCTGCTGGCAGTCCGTTCAAGTTTTGTTCCAGCCCTGTTTTCCACGGTGCTGGGAGCACCTCGCAGTGGAATTGGTGGGGCACACGCGTGCCTGTGCCTACAAACACCCCCATTACTGGAGTCCGTGCAACACTTCCCAAGGGGCTGCGCCAGCTTCCACCCTCACAGCCAGGTGTGCGACTGGTTTCTGTCATCGTCTGATTGTCACCACGCCCGCGAGGGTGTGACTGGCCTCTCTTCAATGGTTCTCCTCTGGTTCTCTCCCACATTCCCGTCAACCGTTTCCAACTCTGCAGCAGCTTTCACTGCTTTGGAAAGTGTTTCCCAGTTGCTTTTGAAATGCAGTGACCATGGCGACGGGCAGCAAATTCGCCCTGTTTGCAGGATTGCTGAACGGAGTTGCTCAGTTGCTTAGTCAGTCGCTCAGTCGCTCAGTCAGTCGCTCAGTTATCGGTGCTGTGCCGCTTTCTGGAAGGAGGCGTCCCGGTAAGCTCAGCCTCCGTGCCTGTCACAGAAGTGCACTTAAGTTTCTGCATTGCACAGTGCTAATTACCACACAAAGGAGAAATGACAGAAATGACATGGTGCCAATGTCACCTTGCACACGACCTCAGAGCAGCGGGTGATTAAGTAACCTCTGCCTGTGCGGCTGACTCTGCAGCTCAGATCTGGATTATTGAGCTCTGTCCGCCGCCCGGTGTCACGTTTGCAAATGGGGCGGAAGCAGGTCGCCTTGCCCGGTCACAGCCATGCATTGTTGCATCGCCATGGTAACAGAGATGTTATGTCTATGTCGCCATGGTCACAGTGATACATTGTTGCGTCGCCATGGCAACAGCCAGGCTGCTGTATTTACTGCAATTCCGAACCTTTCAGTTTGCAAAGTGGTCACAGCCGAGGTGACATTGGAGACGACAGGGGGACCTGTCCTGGTCCATGGAGCCACTGTTTGGAGTCAGACAATTTGCACAGTCGTCACGCTGTGCTGTGTGCGACCCCAGGGAGGGGTCGCCGAGGGGACAGGGGCCATGGTACTGATGGCGGTGATGGCCACCCGACACGCACGTGTCACGAGAGCAAGTGCCCTGTAAGGTGCGCCCCTTCCTATGTCCTGTGCACCCCAAGGCGCTGCTCCAACACTGCGGGGTGCGTGTGGCCCCATGAGCTCCACGTCACTCTGCGACTGGACACTTGACCCCTCAGCCTCGGCGCGGTCCCTGATCAGGGCTCCGTCCTGCAGGTGGCCTCCTCCTCATTTGAGGACGCCAATCACGTGTGTGCAAAGTCACCACACATGCCATGGAAAGTGACCTGGTGGCCACAGGCTCCACCTGTGCCACAGCCACCAGCTCCCGGGAGTGACAGGCACGATGGACACCACCACTGAGGTCCACACAGGCGTGAAGGACACGGCCTGCTGTGGACAGCACCCCAGGGGGACGTGCAGGTACACAGCTGCCTGGGGACAGCAGGACAGGATGAGAGGGGACAATGCTTGTTCCCACGTCAGGTTAAACTAGAAAGTCCAAGGCCACAACGGGGAGAGAGAACGAGGCGCTGCGGTCACTCGGCCCGAGGGAAGGCGTCACCGTGACCCTGTGAGGCCATGGCTGCTTTGACAGGAGGAGGAGGGGACACTGGTGACAGTCAGTTGATGGCTCTGGCTCATAGGGTGCTATGTGAGCGAGCGAGCGAGCGGGAGACAGGGACAGGACCAAGAATGTCACCTCACAGAATAAAACCAAGCTGTCTGCTCAGGTGGACAAGGAAACTCAAGCTCAGTGCTGACCACAGAATCAGTAATTGAATTGGTTCTGTCCTCGTGAAGCAATGGGAGAGAGACAGAGACAGAGAGAGAGAGAGAGAGAGAGAGGTTGCATCCGTCTATTACAACACAGCCCTCAAATAAACTTTTATTTTCATTTAATAATCATTTACAAAACGCGTGAGCACACTTGCTTTTTGATGAGCTGCTGTGACTCACGGCTGAAATGAAAATCCAGGGGAAAATGATGTGTTGGGGTTTTATGGTCCTGGGAAACAAAGGGAGATTTCAAACGCTGTGTAGGAACAGGCTTCTGTTGCCCGAGGTGGGAGTGCTCAAAGAGAAACTGAGGCACAAAGGCTCAGGTCACAGAACAAGCGTCCGAGGGACCAGGACGGACACATGGTTTCTGGGAGAGAATCAGGTCTGAAATCGCAGCAAGGACGTGGTTGTCACAAACAAAATAAATCAGTAGCCCAAAACACAGCTGGCACAGGAGGAAAACCAGAAACAGCTCCCCTGAGGCAGGTCACTCACCTGGGAATGACCTCTGACCTCCCCTGAGGCAGGTCACTCACCTACGAAGGACCTGTGACCTCACCTGAGACAGGTCACTCACCTGGGACGGACACTGTAACCAGAAAGAGAGAACAGGACAAAGAAGACAGGACAGACAGAAAACAGGACAGAGGGACAAGGATATCTAGAAGGCCACTTAAGGTCCCAGGATGGCCGTCTGCAGTGACACAGGATTTGCACAGCAGCACCACATCTTCCCCCAAGCATGGCGGGTTGACAACTGAATCCAGGTGTGACAGGACTGTCCCCTCCCAGGCTGCAGAGCACCAGAGCTTCAGCTGGGCTTCACCACTTCTGGGGTCCCTGGGCCTCTGCTCATCTCGGCCCATCCTCCCATGTGTGTCAGTCTACAAACCTCACCTTTGCGTAAGAACAGCAGTCACACTGTTTGCCTTGTCACCATGGCAACCCTTTTTCCAGCCCAGCCACCTGCTCCGGGGGTCTTCCACAGCGACCCAGTTCATACACAGGGAACACAGATGTGTCACCAAGAGCTCCTGCACCGTGACAAAACACCTGAGGAAATCACCATCAAGGAGGAAAGGCCGATGCGGTTCATGGTGTCAGAGTGTCAGTCAATGGTCACTGGGCCACACGACTCTGGGCCGTGGTGAGGCAGAACAAGATGGCAGCAAGAGTGGGTGGTGGAGCCAAGCTGCTCACATCATG